TATTTAATTTATTTCATTCTAGGCCCATTATGGCCCAAAATGTTGAAATAAATGAATGTGGATCCAATTAGAGCCCATTTAAAGGTTCTAATCACATGATAGTCAAATTGGAAGCTTATTGGTCCATTGAGTCCAATAAGGAAGTCCTAGCCCAAAATGGACCTAACAAGAACTTCTAGGGTTTCCAGCTGCTTGTTGACTATTTGTAGTACTTGTATGGTGTATTGGATTGAAGTTTTGTTGTCATAGAGTAAGCATCATACATGCTCTTAAGTTTTTGATTCTACATTTTACTTGAGTGTAGTGATTACAAGACACAAAATTTCTAGTTGTAACAGAAATGGCTAGAAACATCATTTCTTTTCATGGTTTGTTTAGACAAGATTTTAGATTTTCTTTTAATAATGAGAATGGTTCTATTTTAGCTTATCTAAATGGTGTCTTTTACTTTGAAGCTATACCATGTAATGGAATTTATGAAACTGTTATGATTGTTGATAACTTGGGAAATGATGTTTTGTACTTGGATTCTTCCAATAGTATGGATAAGGCATCCGTATGGCATTGTCGTCTTGGACATGTCAACAAGAAACGCATAGCCCAACTCCAAAAGGATGGAGTGTTGGAGTCATTCGACCTTAGGGAAGATGACACATGCGAGTCTTATTTACTTGGAAAGATGACTAAGTCACCCTTCGCTGGTACGTGCGAAAGGGGTGAGGGTCTATTGGACCTCATACATACCGATGTGTGTGGACCATTTAGATCTACCACGAAGGATGGTAACCGCTTCTACGTGACTTTTACCAATGACTATAGTAGATATGGGTATATCTACTTAATCAAGCAAAAGTCAGAAATTTTTGAAAGGTTCAAAGAGTTTAAGAATGAAGTGGAGAATCAATTGGGCAGGAAGATCAAGATGTTTCGATCCGATCGAGGAGGAGAGTACCTAAGTCTTGAATTCCACTATTATCTCAAGGAGTGTGGAATAGTTTCACAATTGACGCCACCTAGGACACCAAAATTGAATGGTGTGGCAGAAAGGCGTAATCGAACCTTGTTGGACATGGTTCGCTCTATGATGAGTCGTGCTTCGCTATCTATCTCTTTTTAGGGGTATGCCTTAGAGACTGCCGCCCATATTCTTAACTGAGTCCCTCTAAGAAGGTTGCCAAAACACCTCACGAGATGTGGACGGGGAAATCTCCTTCGTTAGCACATATCAAGTTTTGGGGTTGCGAGGCTTTCGTAAGACGAGATACTCACGACAAGCTCGAACCTTGTAGTGAGCAATGTATTTTCATCGGCTACCCACAGAAATCCTTTGGATATCTCTTCTATAGACCGAAGGAAAATGTTGTCTTTGTTGCGAGGAGAGGAGTTTTCCGAGAGCGAGAACTCATAGGCCATGGAGACAGTGGGAGACAAATCGATCTTGAAGAGATTCAAGAGTCGATGGATGAAGGAACCTCTACCACTGGCACTCAACCCGAGGAGGAAACTACGGTTGAACCGATTGACATATCATTACCTCTTAGACGTTCCGAAAGACTTAGGTTTCAACCCCAGTTATATGGTTTTCATATTACTACCAAAGGGGACATGTATATTAGTGATAGTACACTAATAAATCTTGATGAACCTAATAGCTATAAGGAAGCCATGGTAGGCCCGGAGTCTGCGAAATGGAAAGAGGCAATGGATAGCGAGATCCAATCCATGTATGATAACCAAGTTTGGAATTTGGTTGATAATGTGCCTGGACGTAAGACCTTTGGGTGCAAATGGATCTTCAATAAGAAGACTGACGTGGATGGAAAAGTACACACGTTTAAAGCACGACTAGTTACAAAGGGCTTTACTCAAACTCCCGGAGTTGACTATGAAGAGACCTTTTCACGAGTTGCAAAGATAAAATCTATTAGAGTGATGCTAGCTATTGCCGCATTTCATGATTATGAGATTTGGCAAATGGATGTCAAGACCGCTTTCCTTAACAGGAAGTTGGCTGAGGATGTTTACATGGCTCAGCCATAAGGGTTTGTGGATCCGAAGCATCCGATTAGAGCGTGTAAGCTTGAGAAGTCCATTTATGGACTAAAGCAAGCATGTCGCAGATGGAATCTTTGCTTCGATGAGAAAGTCAAAGAGTTTGGATTTGTACGAAGCGAAGATGAGTCGTGTGTATATGTCGAAGCCAGTGGGAGTGTGGTAAGCTTCCTCGTTCTATATGTCGATGACATATTACTTATAGGAAACGACATCCCGACTCTGCAGGAAGTTAAGTCCTGGCTCGGGAAGTGCTTCACTATGAAGGACCTCGGAGAGGCTTCCTATATTTTGGGAATAAGTATAGTAAGAGAAAGAAGTAAGAGACTAATAGGATTTAGTCAGAACACTTACTTAGAGAAGGTACTAAAACGTTTTACTATGGAAAACTCGAAGAAGGGAGAATTACCAATACAAAACAATGCCAAGTTGAGTAAGACTCAAAGTCCGAGTACCGAAGCCGAGATAGCTGAAATGAGCCGAGTACCATACGCTTCCGTAGTTGGCTCAATCATGTACGCTATAACTTGTACTCTCCCTGATGTAGCCTTTGCTTTGAGCATGGTTAGTAGATATCAAGGGAATCCTGGCAGAGCCCATTGGGATGCGGTGAAGAATATCCTTAAGTACCTTCGGAGGACGAAGGAATGGTTCTTAGTCCTTGGAGGGAGTGATGACTTAAAGGTGCGAGGGTATAGTGACGCTAATTTTCAGACCGACAGGGACAACTACCGTTCGCAGTCGGGCTGGGTCTTTACCCTGAATGGAGGAGCAGTGACTTGGAAGAGTTCAAAGCAGGAAACCGTAGCTGATTCAACGTGAGAATCAGAGTACATCGCAGCAAGCGAAGCGTCGAAGGAGGCAATATGGCTAAAGAACTTCATTGGAGATCTTGGAGTTGTACCTGCCATAAAGGAGCCCATGGAGATTTTCTGTGATAATGAAGGTGCGGTTGCCTTGACCAAGGAACCGAGAGATCATGGTAGATCACGACATATCGACAGAAAATATCACTTTATTAGACATCGTGTAGAAGAAGGACAACTCGTAGTGAAGAGAATATCATCAGAAGATAACCCAGCAGACCCGCTTACGAAGGGACTGAGTAGGGTTAAGCATTTGTAGCATGCTAGGAGTATTGGGCTAAAGGATGATATTAGTATAGATTAGATAGTATTAGAAACGTGTAATAGATAAATGTAATTAACATCTGATGATTAAATAAAGGAGTTTTATTTATAAGTAATGTTACTGTCTTATGTTAATTGTTTAACTATTGTTTCACTTTGCATGTTTTGACTTACAGAATAATTGAGTTTATTAACAATAATCGAATTGTTCAAATAGTCCACAATCGTTCATATGTCGGAAGTAGATATGAATGAAGATTGTCATGAATAGGTGTGCAGAGTGTCTAAATGGTGTTAGACATAGCAAAAGATTATTGCAACGTTCATGAGTGCTTATGAACTAGGTTTGAGCATTGGAACAAACCCGCGCTTGCTGGAATCACCTTATGGAATATGATATAAAAGGGTGATCGCGAGATGATACTATCATATAGTCTTAAAACCTAGATATATGGTTTGTTATTGGTTAAATGATTGTACATTGATAATGCAAAAACGCATTGGTAAGTCGATGTTATAAAACGCATTGTTGTGTGTAGTTGTTTAATGAATAAGTAAATGCATATAAGTCGAAGTTTATCTGTAACTTTTATCCTAAGAAGGAAAAAGAGATATCTCGGCCGCTCGATGATTTGATTTGACTTATGTGTCGGGCCCGGTCAGAACTGAATTGATGTGTTCGATTAAGTTCTATGTCAAATAAATCGGAGATCGAGAAACCAAATGCTAGACTAACTATTCCATAGTATTGTCAGCACGATATCTAACAGAGGACTATACGATCCCTTATCTAAAGGACAAGATTGATTAGATCAGAGTTCGACAGCGTTTTTGAGAGCTACGATTGCAAATACGAATGTACCTGCGCATATAGTTACTAGACTTATCCAAGTGGGAAACTATTGGAATAGTGTCTAAGCCTGCAACTATATTAGGCAAGTATTTGACATGATTGTGCATGGTCCTTTTGGGTTGCCTTCACCATAGCAACTTGATAGGATGATTTATTAAGAGAGAGTAAATATTATTAGTATATTATGAGAATAATATAAAGAATAATATATAGTTGTTTGATTAATACAAGTCATAGATTAATTAGTATTAATTTGGTGACTTAAGGAGATTAATTAAATAAGAGGGTATAAACTGTCAATTGCTTGATAGTTGCAATTTAGACTGTATATCCTTATGGAAGATAGGTTGGACGATTTCTAGGGCTTAGATAAGCCAAAATCGTCCAAAGGGTATCTAAGATAAGGATATGGATTAACTTAAAGTCTAAGTTATCCAGTTAGGGTTTAAGTTGTAACCCTTAAGGAGTCTACAAGTATAAATAGACCCTATGGTTGAGGGAATTCAACAACCCATCCGAAGTAAAGATACTCTGGCCGAATTCCTCCCCTCTCCTCTCTCCCAAATCATCCTCCTTGCTATTTGGTGTTTGTAAGCCATTAGAGGAGTGACAATTGTGACTCTAGAAGCTCCAAGACAACAAGATCAACAAAGAACTCAAAGGTATGATTCTAGATCTGTTTCAATATTGTTATTACACCTAAATAGTCATTAGAAGTCTTGGATTCAAACCATGTTTGATTAGAAAGCCTAGATCCGAGCATTAGGGTTTTGCATGCGCACATAGGAAAGTTCTTATGGCTAAAACCCATCAGTAAATCTATGCTAGATCAACCCATTGGACCTGCTTTTTTAGGTATATCTATCAATAAAATATGAGTATAAAAAACAATTCATTTAGGGCTAGTAAATAAGACAAGACACTCTTTAAAATGATATATCTAAAGAAATTATAAAAGAAAAAGCTTACCTAATGAGAAGCATCCGTGTGTCTGATTCTAAAGAAATAAAATCATCATTATCTACAACAGCATATGATCCGGTTCTGGTCCTGTCCTTATCCTGCTGCTGATGAGACTTTGGCATCCGCATTAATTCTTGGTGCATCCCACCAAAGTTTGAACTGCTTCTGGTCACAGTCACTACTTTCTTAATATTTCCCACCTGATTGGTTAGTGGTTACATACCACACATAGAAAATAAGACTCATATCCATATTTACCAAAGTAATAAATTAAAAGATTTGTATTGTACCTGAATCGGAGCAGTAGTGGTCCACTTCCTTCGCTTTTCAAGCTCAACTTGTTTTATACCATACAAAGAAGGGTCTCTAGCAGCTACAAAAATAGTCTTTTCTAGCTCATCCACCTTACCTATCACAAAAATTCATTTTCAGAACTCAAATTAAAGAGGTTTCATCTTTCTTAATTTGTCTTGTATTTCAGATACATACCTGCCATTCAATGCTCTCGCAATTGTAAAGGAGTTCCTTTGTCAGCCTGTATTGTTCCCCGCTGTCGCGTTCCCATTCATGAAAGCTACCCTGGAGGCTATCAATCACAAAATAAATGATTATAAGATGATAAAAACATTAACATACTTTCCTTGTATCAGGAGGACCGTATAGAAGAACACCAGAGCGCTTACGTAGCCCAGATGAAACCAAATCTTTATGCAGAAGGGGGAGCTGTAAATGCATTACCAATATGTCACAACTTATGCCAAAGCTTAAAACAACCAACTGGAATTCAAGATTCCATTCCTATGTAGTATGTACCTGAACTATATCGAGAATAGATTTTTTCACATCTTCCAGCCCACCAACATCCTCCCACTTAACATTAGGGACCTACACACACACACACAAACAACTCAAACTTAGTACCCTGTAGAATAGATGTAATGCCACCAACCATTTTTATTTTACACACCTTGGGAGTCCCCAAAGTCGATGCATTCCTTTTCTTTGACCGCTCCAAAGCTTTGACCATGAATTCTTTGTTGTCACCCAACTTCTCAAAGGTACTGCCATTAATAGGTATCAAACTTGAACTACCATCAGCAACCAAAGCCCTAATATCCCTTGGCATGAAACCAGATGTCTGTCCAACCATATCTTTTACAACATCCTCTGTACAAGTCTGCAAGGAGCATACATCATTCATTAGATTTTAAGATAAATATATGTATACAATAAAATATTCTTATTCTTATTTTTACTTACATCTGGAACCAATTCAGGGACAAGGTGAAGTGACTGGGATAGCATTTCCACTCTCTGGTCTTCGGTGAAACCTTCCATTTTCATTTCATAGCTGAAACAACGCCTAATTGTAGGTGGCAACCCTTCAGAGTTATCAGCAGCTGCAACTAGCAGCACAGGATGGGTTTTAATCGTGTTCATATGCTGCATAATGAGAGTAAAACAGTGAGTAAGCAATGGATAATTGACATATTTTTATGGCAGAAATCAGCATCTCAAAACATCAACCTCTGCTTCTTCTTCTTCATCTTCATAATCATCATCTTGTCTAAATGTCTTGGTGAATTCCCTAATGACAGATGCAACTTCAGAATTCATACCAACTTGATCATTTTGTGAACCATCATTAGAGCTCAAATTGCTGAAAGCATCAAAATGGTGTAGCAGAAGAATAGTTGGTGCATATCTGCAATAACACAAACACAGTCATACACATATTATCATGAATTAATTATTACTATGAAACACATAATAAGAAAGTAGATCATTTCACATCATAATGGTTGTAAATACCTACGAGTTGTTCTGAAAGCTTGAGCCAACATGGAAGAACCCTTCCTCTCTGAAGATGCAAGTAAATCATGACAACTATACTCAACCACATGCAGCCCAAGTTGAGAAGCAACATGCTTCACAAAAGTCCTCTTCCCACACCTAGGTAAACCAAACAAAAGAACAGCAAACCTGAATTTTGATGAAAGTGCTGATGGGCATAAAGTTGGTGTGATAATAGAGGCCAGGATCTTTACCGTGTCTTGATGTAAAGGACAATAATGTTTTCTCTACGCATCCTCAAAAAAACAAAGCCTATTTATTAAGAGCTCTAGGAGAAGCAACAATAAAACTTCACTTCAATGGAGAAGCCAACTTACGGAATCTTGAATCTCGTCTTTTACTGGATAGATAAACTTTCACAAATCTCTGTATACAGAATCTTGACTCCGACCTCATCTATTTCTTTTCTTTCCGATTACTGGATAGATAAACTTTCACAAATCTCTGTATACAAGATATTAAAAAGTCAAATTAGACAAACCTTGAGAGTACTTCAAAATTTCTAAAGCAAGAATCAGTTACAACTAACAAAAAAAACATGAAATTGAGGAGTAGAAAGTGTAGAAATAGAATAGTAATTGATGATGAAATTGAAGAGTAGAAGTGTACACTTCTACTCTTCAAATAAGCATTAATACACATCAACTGAAAGACGTCATCATTACTAGCAAAAGAGCCTCCTTGAAACGAGTCACAAAAAACAGAGAACTATAAGAGCGTGAGGTGAGATTTTGTGAACGAGAAACCCTAGTTCAGATTCTCTCACATGAGAATTTTGGGATGTTGTGGCAAATCGATCTGGTTCACGGCAGTAATACCCCAATGTGACTACCTTCTCAATGTATCCATGCATCTCATTAGAACCCGATGCGTTTCATTTGACCTAGTTTCTGTCGTTCTCAACTCACACCTAAATGGATAGAAGTTAGGAAATGCATTTCTTCATCTTCTTTGTCGGCTCTGGCAGTGATGGTTGGAGGCGGTGGATGTGGATGAGGAACGCAGAGACAGAGACATGGATTGAAAGGAGATATAAGAGAATAAAATAGAGAGACTAGAGGGGCGAGAAGAGAGTGGATTTTGTACTTTTTTTTCCCCTCTTTCTCCCTACTTTCCTATTCTGATGATAAGCTCTGAAATGTTCTCTATTTACTTAAGATCGTCGGAGAAGGGGAAGAAGTGAGCCTGAGGTTGTCGACGGCGAATCGATTATAGAGAGCACGTAACGTGTGAGTGAGTGTTCAGATGTTCTTCAAAAAAACCCTAGAAATTAATAGTGTAATAAGAAACACGCGTTTGAGTAAAACTTATAAAGCAACATCTGCAGACGACACACACTTAAAATAAAAGCTCCTTCCGTGTTTGTAATTTTTTTTATTGGACACTAATTTTAGGGTACGCACAAATACGCATCCTCTATCCTTCAAATTTTATGAAACTGACATTATTTTTTAGGGCACGTACAAATGCGCGTCCTCTATCAGCGTGTGTCATTGTTTGCGCGTCATTAAAGGGTTGTTTTCTAATAGTCCAAAAAGCTTTATGCTCTATCTCCACCGGTAAATGACATTGATTTCCATAAACTAACCTATATGGTGTAGTACCAATAGGTGTTTTGAAAGTTGTACGAAAGGCCCACAGTTCATCGTCTAGCTTATCCGACCATTCTTTTCGATTGCTCCCCACCGGTTTCTCCAAGATTCTCTTTAAAGCTCGATTTGTCACTTCGGTTTGTCCACTAGTTTGTGGATGATAGGATGTAGAAAATTTATGGTTTACCCCATATTTCCTTAGCACCTTCTCTAGTTGATCATTGGCAAAATGAGTGCCTCGGTCACTTATAAGAGCTTTCGAGACCCCAAGTCTTGAAAATAACTTCTTTAAAACCCGCACCACCACCCGACCATCATTAGTTGGCAAAGCTTGTGCCTCCGCCCACTTGGATACATAATCCACCACCACCAATATGTATTTTTCCTTTGGACATGGGAAATGGTCCCATGAAATCGATCCCCCACACATCAAATACTTCGCACACTTGGATACTATGTTGTGGCATTTCATTTCGAGATGAAATGTTTCCCACTCTTTGACATGCATCACATTCTTTGACAAATTGGGCTGCATCTTTAAAAATTGTGGGCCAGTAAAACCCAATGTCAAATATCTTCTTAGAAGTGTAATGTGCTCCATGATGTCCACCCGTAGGCCCGCTATGACAATGCTCCAATATTTTCCGACTTTCATTCCCGAACACGCATCTTCGTATGATTTCATCCGCGCAGCTTCGGAAAAGATATGGTTCATCCCAAAAGTAATACTTTATCTCGGAAAAGAATTTCTTCTTTTGTTGACTTGTGAGATCTTTTGGGATGTATTTGCTAGCAAAGTAATTAGCTATATTTGCAAATCATGGTTCTTCTCCCACGGTCACCATAATATACTCGTCCGGAAAATCATCTCCAACTCTATCTTCTTGCAATCGCGAGTTTTCAAGCCTTGACAAGTGGTCAGCTGCTAAATTCTCCATTCCTTTTTTGTCTCGTATCTCTATGTCAAACTCTTGAAGAAGTAGAACCCATCGTATCAATCTTGGCTTGGCATCCTATTTGGCAAACAAATACTTGATAGCAGAGTGGTCAGTAAAAACTGTTGTGTTAGATAAAACTAAATAAGGACGGAATTTATCAAAAGCATACACCACAGCTAATAATTCCTTTTCCGTGGTGGTGTAATTTTCTTGGGTCAGATTTAAAGTCTTGCTAGCATAATATATGGGTCGAAAGTGCTTATCAAACCTTTGACCAAGGACAGCTCCTAATGCAAAGTCACTAGCATCACACATTATTTCAAATGGTAAATTCCAATTTGGTGCAATAATGATCGGGGAATTAGTTAATTTTTCCTTTAAAAATTCAAATGCCTCTAAACACTCTTTAGTGAAATTAAATGTTGCATCTTTTAAGAGTAATTGTGTTAAAGGTCTAGTTATTTTAGAAAAATCTTTTATAAAACGCCGGTAAAAACCCGCGTGACCTAGAAAACTTCTAATGCCCTTCACATTAGTTGGTGGGGGGTAATTTGGCAATGGTGTCAATCTTTGCCCGATCCACTTCAATTCCCAATTTGGAAACCTTATGGCATAAAACTATACCCTTCTTGACCATAAAGTGACATTTCTCCCAGTTGAGGACCAAGTCGGTTTTGTCACACCTAGCAAGCATTAAGTCAAGATTTGTGAGACAATTATGGAAGGAACATCCAAAAACAGAAAAATCGTCCATAAAAACTTCCATGAATTTTTCCACCATATCGTGGAATATAGCTGTCATACACCTTTGAAATGTCGCGGGTGCATTGCATAGCCCAAAGGGCATGCATCGATAAGCAAAAGTCTCAATTGGGCAAGTAAATGTGGTCTTTTCTTGGTCCATTGGATCTATGGGTATTTGGAAATAACCCGAGAATCTGTCTAGAAAGCAATAATAACTATGGCCCGATAATCTTTATAACATTTGATCAATAAAAGGTAAGGGAAAATGGTCTTTACGAGTGGCATCCTTTGGCTTTCGATAATCGATGCACACTCTCCAACCGGTTACCGTTCGTGTCGGAATAAGCTCATTCTTTTCGTTGGTTATGACCGTCATCCCTGATGGGTTTTAGCCATAAGAACTTTCCTATGTGCGCATGCAAAACCCTAATGCTTGGATCTAGGATTTCTAATAAAGATGCTTTTGAATCCAAGACTTCTAATGGCTAATTAGGTTAAACAACAATATTAAAACAGATCTAGAATCATACCTTTGAATCCCTTGTTGATCTTGTTTGTCTTGGAGCTTCTAGAGTCACAATTGTCACTCCTCTAATGGCTTACAAACACCAATAGCAAGCAAGATGATTTAGGAGAGAGGAGAGGGGAGGAATTCGACCAGAGGTTCCTTGCTTAAGGTTATGTGTCGAACTCCCTCATCCATAGGGTCTATTTATACTATTAGACTACTTAAGGGCTTCACCCTAAACCCTAATTGGATAATCTTCTCTTAAGGCTATCCAAATCCATTCCATAGATAACCCTATGGACGATTTTGAGCTATCCTAAAGCTCTTAGAATCCGTCCAAGGTGTATCCTAATGGATTTATAGTCTAAAGTCTAACTATCAAACAATTGACAGTTTATACCCTCTTATTTAATTAATCTCTTTAAGTCACCAAATTAATACCAATTAATTTATGACTTATATTAATCAAATAGCTAAATATTATTCCTTATAATATTTACTCTCTCTTAACAAATCATCCTTCAAGTTGCTATGGTGAAGGCAACCCAAAAGGACCATGCACCACCGAATATAGTTATAGCCTTAGACACTATTCCAACAGTCTCCCACTTGGATAAGTCTAGTAACTATACAAGTACAATACGGTTTGCAATCGTAGCTCTCAAAGACGCTGTCAACTCTGATCTAATCAATCTTGTCCTTTAGATAAGGGAACGTACAGTCCTCTGTTAGATATCATGTTGACAATCCTATGGAATGGTTAGTCTAGCATTTAGATTTCTCGATCTCCGATTTATTTGACATAGAACTTAATCGAACACATCAATTCAGTTCTGACCGGGCCCGGCACATAAGTCAAATCAAATCATCGAGTGGCCAAGATATCTCTTCTACCCTCTTAGGATAAAATTTACAGATAAACTTCGACTTATATGCATTTACTTATTCATTAACCAACTATACACAACAATGCGTTTTATAACATCAAGTTACTGATGCGTTTTCGCATTATCAATGTGTCACAACTGTAAATTTTGAGCCGTGTAATCTATGCATTCAACCTAATGTGAATCAAAAACTTCAATCAAATACAAGTACTATAAGTAGTCATCAAACAATTGGAGACTCTAGAAGCTCTTGTTAAGTCCATTTTGGACTAAGACTTCCTTATTGGATCCAAATGGACCAATGACCTTCCAATTGGACTATCATGGGTTTAGGACCCTAATTGGGCTCTAATTAGACCCACACTCGTTTATTTCAATAATTTGGGCTAGGTAGAACCTAGGATGAAATAAAACACAAGTTTTGATCCATAATTTAACCTAACCTAGCTTAATAAAGCATAAAAATCACAATTTTATTTTATAAGTCCAATAAATACCCTAAACTACCTCTAATGTTGGGCTTAGGGGCAAAAGCCCAAATTTTTCCTTCTCCTCTCTCCATTCTCGGCCCAAGCCCAAGGAAAAAGGGGGAGTTGACCTTGGGTTGACACCTCACTTTTACATGTTGGATTCCCATGCATGCCACACATGTTTCCAAGCAAACATCATATCAAAATCACTTCTTCTCCCTCTTCTCTCCTTGTTCGGCCGAGAGCATCACCACACA